GACCTCTCTAGAGTGCTGAAAAGCAACAATGTCACTCTACAGACAAAGGTAAGCCTAATCCAGGCCATGGTCTTCTCAATTACTTCTTATGCTTCAGAGAGTCATACAATGACTAAGGATGACAAAAGAAGAATAGATGCCTTCAAATTATGGTGCTTGAGAAAAATCTTGAACATACCATGGACTGCCAAGAAAACAAGTAAGTCTGTCTTGGAGAGGGTGAAACCAAGTCTCTCCTTGGAAGCTAAGATTTTGAAGTTCTGCCTCACTTACTTTGGGCGCGTGGTCAGGAAGATCAGTCTTTGGAGAAGGACATCATACTTAAAAGGGTGGAGGGACAGCACAGGAGAGAAAGACCGCAGATGAGATGGATTGATACAGTAACTAGGACAATGGAGGTTGGTGTGTCAGAATTAGTGAGACTGCATCAGGACTGGAAAGGGTTCAGAGCTGCTGTACATAAGGTCTCTATACATCACAGATGACTCAATGGCACATAGCAATAACATACTATGACAGTTTTGAAAGCAGGGGTGGAATCCACTTTCTTAACAACATGCTTCCGGAAACTCTATGAACTTTGATAAATGTTGATAGTTGTAGAGGGGCTTCAGGCCTTTTGTTCATAGGGTCGCTATGGGTCGTGCTTGACTCAAAGGCAATCAACAACAACAACAAAGCAAATTGTCTTTTTCCAAGGACTGTTCCCTCCTGACCACATGCCAAAGTGTGTGAGATGTACTTTCATTATCTTTGCCTCTAAGTGGTACTGTGGATATAGTTCTTCAAAGCTAGATCTGTTTGCTGTTTTAATAGTCCATGAAATATTCAAAATAGATAGATGATAGATAGATAGATGATAGATAGATGATAGATAGATAGATAGATAGATAGATAGATAGATAGATAGATAGATAGATAGATATAGACAGACACATATCTATATAGAATATAGATTACAGAATATAGAATATATAGGTCACAGTATCTACCTACCTAAGAAGTTTCTGTTGTTATTATTTTATGCAGTCAAGTTGGAACTGAATCATAGTTGACTCTCCAGTAGGTTTTCAGAAGTTGTAAATGGCACAGGAAGAGATTGTCATCTTTCTCCCAAGGAGTAACTGGTAGATTTAATTACATGCTTTGGATTGGACAATTAAAACAGACATTCGGGGCGGAGGAAGAAGAATGAACTGGGGAGGGGAGTAGAGAAAACAATGCAACAATGAATGAATGAAATCCCAAAATCTCTGTAAATGTTCATTAAAACTAATAAAATTTAATAATAATTTAAAAAAATAAATTACATGCTTTGGATTGGCAGCACAATTTTTTTTACCACTAGGCCACCTACTTAAGATACAGTGGGGAAAAATATTTGCTTAAATATAAACAATGGATATTATCTTTTTTCAGTAAGCATAAACTGAGTATCTAAATGGGCAAATCACTCAGTTAAAGGACCTGACTACAATTTTTTAAATCAATCTCTCTAAGAATCTGAAGCATTCTAATATACAAAGGAAAGCAGAGCCTACATCCTTATCCACAGCATAAGCAAGCATAGAGAATGCAGTAATCTTTGTGAAATTGCTGGTAGCCACTATGTGCTATTTGGAAAGCCTTCCATAACTAGACTGTACTTCTAGCCAATAGTTCTTTCATGTAAAACTGGGTACTTTTATCATCTAATAATGGAGCTTTACCAATTGCAGAAAACAAGTTTATTCACTCTAGGTTGCTAAACGGTAAAGTTTTAAATGAAAACTGTTCTTTAATTATTCTTCTTATAGACAAAATCCTGTGTACAAATTTATTTTAAATGCCTTTATTTTTCCCTTTTTTTTTCTATGTAGACTAGTAAGACAAAAAAAATACAGAATCCGAAAAACATACCACAGGTGAACCCAGCTGCCCAAGAAAAACCTTCACTTCACCGCATGACTTTTTCACCAAGTTCACAGATTCTTTATCATGCAGAGGAATCTAGTCAGCAAAAATCTAGAATATTTCAAACTCGTACAAATCCCGTTGGTTCAAAGAAATATGAATCTCCCACACAACCATTTTCTGTTCAAGAGAGTAAGAATCCAATTATACCATTTTTGCATTCAATTGTTGAAAAACTTGCTAACAAAAAAGCAAAGACTCAGATATTAACCCAAGGGAAAAAACTTGAACCAAAAATTCAGAACAAAAACCTAAAACGTGAAAAGAGCAAGTCTGCAAAAGAGCAAAATTACCAAAATAAAACTCATTTTTATAATAGTAAAAGCAGACAAGGTGAAATCTCTAAAACCCAAAGAAACAAACATGGACAAAAGGCATGGACAATAGTCACACATGGAACTCATCCTAACCAAATTAGCAAACCTAACTCTTCTCAAATTAAAACTGCTAAAAAAAGCCCTAATTCTGGAACCAAAGAAAGTTTAAAAAGACTCAACTTACCTGCCATTTCAATGGGGAAGAAGTGTGTAAATACTGTTGAACAAACTGGAAATGCAAAATCTAATGCAAATAAAGCCAACACAAAGGAAAATCTAAAGAAACAAGCTGGTAAATTGAAGTGCCAAGGATCCTTCCACCGACAATCTCTTCAAAATCCTCATGAGCAAAAACATCATCATAAAGCCCAAAATGGAAAACACTCATCGTTTCTTAAAAGTATTAAAACTTACAAACAATATAGCAAACAGAAATATACAGAAAAGGTAGTCAGACACCAGAAGAAAAGGAAGAATCCACCTTTTCCTTGGACATCTAAGTTAGTATCACTGATGGATTTTCATGGTGCTGCACAAAATAAAGTTCCACCTATCTTTCTCTCTAACAAGAACAGGGAACAAAAAAAAGTAAGTCCAAAGCGAAGACATCCTGGAAACCTTAGCACAAACAACCTAGGGCAAAAGCGATCTTGCCCACCAGGGAAGCCTGTGAAATCCTTACTGACAACCAAGGTTTCCATGTCTATTCAACCTACATCAACTACCAGAAAGCACATCATAAGCTCTGTGGGCTCTACAGTCAAATCTTACCCAAATTCTATGCCCAAAGTTACAAATTTCACTGCTTCTAGCAAACCTGTGGTTAATACTCCCAAATCCTCAATTACTATCAAAGCAGGAGCTCCTACTACCTCATCCTCTATCACTAACAAATCTGTTACTATATCCACTACCACAGCAAGAGTTGTGACCCCCACCATCAAACCTTCTACCAGTTCTAAGCTTACTACCTTCACTGCTACAAAATCTACCACAGTTAACAAGCCTGTGGTTTCTACCAATAAATCTAGTACCAACACCAAGCCCAGCCCTTCTACCAAATTCACCAGTTCTAAACTTGAAACTGTTAGAAAGAAATCTACCACAATGATAAAACCTGGGACTAATACTACACAATTCTTTACTTCCAATAATTCTCAGAAAACCACCACTGGGCTTTTAACAAGTAGCAACAACATAGCTGGTACTAATGAATCTGCCACTGTCTCTCTCAAGCCGAAAGGAATTACTCATGGTTCTTCCACCCACGCTACTAGAAACTATGCTCCAACAACAAATTCTGCTGTGAAAGCCACTGAATCTCTCATTACCACTGCCAAAATTGGTGACTCAGGCAGTTCAGTATTCATTGCTTTAACTGCTACTCCTAATTTTTCAACAGTTGTCTCAAAGGCTATGTTGCCTACTCCCAAAGCCTCAGCTTCTCAATCTTCAACTACAAACAATGCTACCAATTCAACAGTCTATGCATCAGTCAGTACTTCCACTCTGGCTGGAAGCACCTTAAGAACTACATATACTACCAAAATGTCTCTGTCTACAGCACCAACAATTACCACAGCTCTTCCTGACACACCTGCTTCCAAAATCACATCAGTTTCTCCCATTTCAGAATACGTCTCTCCCAAAGTGGATCTCTGTAGCACAACTATTGCTTCAGACACTCCGACTGCCTTTACTACTTCCCCTTCAGTCTCCACCACCAAGTCTTCTTTCTCTACTGTGTTTACTAAGGATAGTGTCACATTCACTGCCAAGATGCCTAAAGCTCCTTCTACCACAGCACTGACTTTTACTACCACCTCTGCTGCTATGACACCTACCTCAACAAGATTGGTACCAACAGCCAATTCTACATCAGTCTCTGGAGAAGTTGATAACATGAACTCTACCACTGATATCGCAACTGGCAGCAAAACAACTACTACTCCTACAACCAGAGAAGCAGTCGCTACCCAGAGTGCTCTAACCAGCATGTCAAATAGCTTTGGCACAGCAACATTCGCAGTGACTATCCCTGATACGACCACTGCTGTCAGTCATTTCACTACAGGAGCAGACACCACAACTTCACTCACAGAAACTACAGCCACAACCCTAGTCACTGCACATGGCTCTTCAATATCTTACCCAAGCACATGTATTGACACTACACATTCTTATGAACCTGGCAGTCCTGATTTCACCCCTGCTGCCTTGTCTGTTTCACCTAAGACCACAAGCATTCCTGTCACTTCCAGCAGTACACAATTCACCACATCCAAAGATGTTCCTATTAATAATACAAATGTCCTTACGATTGTTTCTACAACTTCTTATTCATCTCCTATGACAGACACTGCCATTACCATACCCATTGTAGATACTTCTACTCCTGCTAGTACCGCTCAGGCTGCTACCTCCCAAGCTAAGGTTTCCACTGCTGCCTCTACTAGCCCATCTGATTTGTCCACTTCTCTCAGAGAGGCTTCATCCACATGTAACACCTCTGCTGCCACTAACAGATCTGCCACGACTCTAGCAGTCTCCACAACTGCTTTCAGGGCTACTTCATCCTCCATATCTCCTAGCATCACACCAATAACCACAAGCATGGCTGCCCCTTTCATAACCACACAAGTAGCCAGAGATAAAGCTGTCCTTTCTGGGTCATCCACCACAGCCATCAGCACCAAACCTGATACCGCAATCACTGCTGCTTTCCCTACCATGGCTGCTTCCACAGTCAAGTCCTTCTCTGCTTCTCCTCACACCACACAAACTGTCTCAAGCACAGCTGCTCCTTCTAATACTACACAGGTAGCCACAGACACAACTGTCCTCTCCATCTCGTCCACATCAGTCCCCAGCACAACTCCTGCTACCAAACACACTGTTGCTCTATCTACCACAGATGCTTCCAGAGTCACTTCCTCCTCTGCTGTTCCTGGAACACCACCCATAGCCACAAGTAATGCTGCCCCTTCTCACACAAGACATGTGCCCACAGATACCTCCATCCTCTCCATCTCATCTGCTGCAGCCACCAGCACTACACCTGCTACCACAATAACTACTACTCTCTCCACCACCCTTCTGGCTGATGCTGTCTCTTCTCCAGACACAACTCCCATTGCTTCCACCCCTGATGCTGCCACAAGTACTTTAACAGCTTCCTTTATGTTTCCTAGCACCCTATCACCTTCTTTTGCCACCGTACGTGCACTCTCCTCATCTACTGACATGCATGCTGCCATAAGTACTCCTGTTCCGTCTCATTCTTCAAACAGCACCACTACCACTGTTCTTCCTTCAATCATATCCACAGCAGTTTCCAGAACAGCACCTGCCATTACCATTTCTTCTTCAGCAACCACACAGGCTGAAAATATTACTGCTGCTACCACCACACCCATATCTACTGTTATTCTCACATCCTCCGCATCATCTACCAATACTTCATCCATCAACACCAGAGCTCTGATTTCATCCACGTCTGCATCCCCAATTTTTGTCACAAGTACTTCTGTCTCTTCCGTCAACTCACACAGTTTCACTACCAGAGCACTTCCCCTAAACTCATCTACTACCACCACCAGAAAAATCACTGCCACAACAACCCTTGCCTCCTCCCCAACCACAACACAGTCTATATCAACTATGACAAAGGCTCCTAATAATGTATCTACCCACACACCTACCACTGCATCTGCCCATGTGCCTACAACTGCATCTACTCATGTGCCTACAACTGCACCTACCCACATGCCTACCACTGCATCTACACACAAACCTACCACTGTATCTACCCACACACCTACCACTGCATCTACACACAAACCTACCACTGCATCTACCCACACGCATACCACTGTGTCTACCCACACACCTACCACTGTGTCTACCCACACACCAACCACTGCAACTACGCACACGCCTACCACTGCATCTACCCACCGGCCTACCACTGCGTCTACACACACGCCTACCACTGTGCCTACACACATGCCTACCACTGCGTCTACACACATGCCTATCACCGCGTCTATACACACTCCTACCGCTGCATCTACCCATGTGCCTACCACTGTATCTACCCACAAATATGCGGCTATGTATACCCACATGCCTAACACTGCATCTACTCGCACACTTACAATTGCATCTACCCATGTACCTACCACTACATCTAGTCACAAATCCAACATTATGTCTACCCACATGCCTACCATGGTGTCTACCCAAGAACCTACCACTGAATCTATGCACGCACCTACCTCTTCATCTACCCATGCGTCTACCACTGCATCTAACCACACTCCTATCAATGCATCTACCCACACACCTAGCACTCCATCTACACACAAATCTACCACTGAATCTACCCACACACCTACCACTGCATCTACCCACACACCTGCCACTGCATCTACCACTGTATCTACCCTTGTGCCTACAACTGCATCTACCCATGCACCTACAACAGAATCTACTCATGTGCTTACAACTGCATCTACTCATGTGCCTACAACTGCATCTACCCATGCACCTACTATATCATCTACCCATGCACCTACCAATACATCAATCCACAATCCTGCAACTACATCTACCCACAAATATACCACAGTGTCCACCCATATGCCTACCACTACATCTACCACTGTATCTACCCTTGTACCTACAACTGCATCTACCCATGCACCTACAATAGCATCTTCCCATGTACCTACCACAATACCTACCCTTGTGCCTACAACCACATCTACCCATGCACCTACCACTGCATCTATCCATGCACCTATCACTGCATCTACCCATGTGCCTACCATTGCACCTACCTGTGTACCTACCACTGCACCTACCCGTGCACCTACCACTGCATCTACCCATGAGCCTACAACTGTATCTACCCAGGCATCTACAACTGTATCTACCCATATGTCTACCACTGCATCTACCCACACAACTACCACTGCATCTACCCACACACCAACCACTGCATCTACCCACATACCTACCACTGTATCTACCCTTGTGCCTACAACTGCATCTACTCATGCACCTACAACAGCATCTACCCAGGCACCTACCACTGCATCTACCCATGCACCTACCAATGCATCAATTTACAATTCTGCAACTACATCTACCCACAAATATTCCACAGTGTCCACCCATGTGCCTAATACTGCATCTACCCATGTGCCTACAACTGAATCTACTCATGTACCTACCAATGCATCTACCTCCACACCTAGCACTGCATCTACCCACAAATCTACCACTGTATCTACCCATATGCCTACCACTGAATCTACCCACACACCTACCACTCTATCTACTCTTGTGCCTACAGCTGCATCTACCCATGCACCTACAACAGCTTCTACCCATGTACCTACCACTGTGTATACCCTTGTGCCTACAACTGCATCTACCCATGCACCTACAACAGCATCTACCCATGTACCTACCACTGTATCTACCCTTGTGCCTACAACTGCATCTACCCATGCGCCTACCAATGCATCAATCCACAATCCTGCAACTACATCTACCCACAAATATACCACAGTGTCCACCCATATGCCTACCACTGCATCTACTCTTGTGCCTACAACTGCATCTACCCACACACCTAGCACTGCCTATACCCACAAATCTACCACTGCTTCTACCCCTATGCCTACCACTGAATCTGCCCATGCACCTACTACACCATCTACCCATGCACCTACCACTGCATCTACCCACACACCTAACACTGCATCTACCCACACACCTACCACTGCATCTGCCCACACACCTACCACTCTGTCTACCCATGTGCCTACAACTGCATCTATCCAGGCACCTACCAATGAATCAGACCCCAATCCTGCAACTACACTTACCCAGAAATATACCACAGTGTCCACCCACATGCCTACTACTGCATCTACCCATGCACCTGTAACAGCATCTACCCACACGCCTACCACTGTATCTACACACACGCCTACCACTGCGTCTAAGCACAAATCTACCACTGCACCTACACACACACCTACCACTTCATCTATACAAGCACCTACCACTATGTCTACCCACATGCCTACCAGTGCATATACCCACACACCTATCATTGCATCTACCCATGCACCTACAATTCCATCTACCCACACACCTACTAATGTTTCTATCCACGTGCCTATCACTACATCTACCCATATGCCTACCACTGCATCTACTGAAGCACCTACTTCTGCATCAACCCCCATGCCAACCACTGCATCTATCCACACACCTAACACTGCATCTACCCACACTCTTACACACACATCTACTCATGTACCTACAAATCCATCTACCCATGTGCCTACAACTGCATCTACCCATGCACCTACTGAAGCATCTACCCACAATTCTACAACTGCATCTATCCATAGATCTACCACTGTGTTTACCCACATGCCTATCACTCTGTCTACCCATATGCCTACCACAGTATCTACCCATATTCCTTCCACTGCATATACCCACAAATTTATAGCTATGTACACACATATGCCTACCACTGCATCCACTCACACATTTACCACTGCATCTACACACGCACCTACCATTGCATCTACCCACACGTCTACCACTGCATTTAACCAGGAGCCTACCACTGCATCTACCTACATCTCTACCCAGACACCTACCACTGCATCTTCCCACACACCTACCTCTGTGTCTATGAATACTCCTGCCACTGCATCTATCCACACATCTATCACTATGCCTACCCACATACCTAACACTGTATCTACCCATGCACCTATCACTGCATCTACCCATGTGCCTGCCACTGAATCTACTCACACCCCTATCTCTCGCAGAACAAAAGCTACGATCTTCACAAATAGAGTGTCTTTATTATCAGCCCTTGCCACTATCACATCAGCTGCAAGAGTCTCTCCTTCTAGCACCAAACTCTCAGCTACAAAAACAGCTGTCTCATTGACTTCTTTTACTTCACGTCTCAGCACCATCCCCGACAGTACCACCATTTCTTCTTACTCACCCAGCACCCAGGCTGACACCACCCTCTCTGCTAGGACCACCTCTTTTTCTACTGCTCTCCCCACAACCGCCTCCACAAGTACCACTACACAGCCTGTCACCACTGCTCCACTGCTGTCTGCATCTGCTGATGTTCATGCTGCTATAAGTAGTTCTGCCCTGCCTAGTTCCACATACAGCACCACTACCACTGTTCTTCCTTCAATCACATCCACAACAGTTACCAGAACAGCACCTGTCACTACCATTTCTTCTTCCTCAGCAACCACTCGGGCTGAAAATATTACTGCTGCTACCACCACACCCATCTCTACTCTTATTCTCACATCCTCCACGTCATCTACCAATACTTCATTCATCAACACCAGAGCCCTGATTTCATCCACACCTGCATCTGCAAATATTTTCACAAGTGCTTCTGCCTCTTCCACCCCCTCATATAGTGTCTCTACCACAGTTTTCCCCCTAAGCTCATTGGCTACAGTCACCAGCACAATCCCTGCCACAACAATTATCTCCTCCCCAATTACGACATCTGCTCCTACCACAATACCTACTCACACAACTAACCCTGTCACTACAAATGCCACCTCCACTGAAGTGTCTTCCTCATCAGCTCCCATCATCACCACTCCAACTATCAAAAATGCCTATTCTAGTACCACATCTTCTCTCACAAATAGAGCTCTTCTATCTGCTTCATCTACTGCACATCTCAGCACCATCTTTACAAATACTACCATTTCTTCATCCTCAGCTCTCTCTCAAGCAGACAGCACCCTCTCTGCTAGCACCAAATCCTTGTCTGCTGCTCTTCCCACAACCCCTTCTACAACTACCACTAGTCAATCTGTCCCCACCACACCTCTGGTCTCTTCATCTGCTGGTACTCATATTTCCATAAGTACTTCTTCCCAATCTAGTTCCTCCCACAACATCACTACCACAGCTCTTCCTTCTATTACATCTGCAGAAGTAACCAGTACAGCCCCTGCTGCTACCATCTCTCCTTCAGCAGCAGCCTCTAAGGCTAAAATAATCACTGCTGCCCTCCCCACAACTGTCTTTACAGCTATTCCCACAGCGTCTTCTACATCTACAACCTCTGCATTACTCTCCTCATCTGCAGACACAATTGTTACCACAAATGCTTCTGTTACTTCCAGGTCCTCACACAGTGCCACTACCACAACTCTTCCCCTAAGCTAATCTGCTATAGCCAATAGCACTGTCCCTGCTACTACAACCTTGTCTTCTTCCCCAGTCACCACACAGTCTGTCTCAGCCTCCACATCTGCTCTCACCACCACACCTACTCTCACAACTCCAATTGTCAGCACAAAGAATGCGACCTCCATACCTGAGGTATTTTCCTAATCTGATACCATCACCAAAAACATTTCTATGAGCTCTTCTGTTTCTTTCAGTACCACATCCCAAGCCACAAATTCAGCTGTTCTATCTATTTCATCTATTGCAAATCCCAGCATCACCCTTGCCACTACAATCTTATCAACATCCTCAACTTCATTTGTTACTACAATTTCTGAGTCTTCAGCATCTGCAAGCACCACGACTACACCAGCACCAACAATTACTGCATCTTCTACAAGCATACAGGTTACTGTCACTACACCTGGTGATGCTATTACATCTATTTTAACCAGTACTATTTCTACAGCACTCTCTGACACCACATCTAATTCTTGAAACACTGATGCTTCTATTAGTACTTCAAAGGCCTCACCACACCTGATAAAAGTGCATAAGCTACCACAGCAGCCCTCGACACCACTTTAGAAGATGAATCCAGTACACCTATTACCACTGAAGAGACTTCCATGACTCCCATATCTACCACCATATATGCTTCTCCCACACTTCATGACACTACCTTTCTTGATTCCACAACTTTTTCTGTTGACACTATAAGACCACACTGACATGACTACTGTTGACAGTTCTCCATTTAGCTCCACTACATTTGATGATACTACACTTACTAGTTGTCTGTCGCATACTTCTCTAAATCTGAACATTCAGATTAAGACAGACTAGGAAGAAGGATTGGCCATCCACTTCTGAAATAGCAGGCCTCTGAAAACCCTATGTA